GTACTCCAGCTTGAGGCTGACCATTATGAGACCATCAGCTTTCAGCTGATTACATCACCTAAAGTTTCTGTCATCCTGGGCATTCCTTGGTTTTCTACCCATAATCCCTCCATCAACTGGGCAGCACGGACTATAAATTTTACATTCCCCCATTTGGGGGGAACATTGTAGGAAACCATGTTGTACAAGTTCTCTACCAATCAGGAAATCACAAGCTGATGTGGTAACTACACAGTCATATGACAACCTGCCTCCACAATACCATGAGTTTCGAGACATCTGTGATAAAAAGAATGGCGATCAATTACCTCCTCATACTCCATATGATTGTCCCATTGAACTGCTTCCAGGATCAGAAATAACATCTGGCCACCTTTTCAGTCTATCAGAACCTAAATTAAAGGTGCTCAGAGAGTGGCTTGATGAGAATTTAGAGAAGGGCTTTATCAGACCCTCAAGATCTCCTGCAGGTGCAGCCCTGTTCTTTGTTCAGAAAAAGGACTCCACCTTGCGTCCATGCATTGATTTCAGGGATTCCGCTCTGCCAAATTCTTTACAAAACTTTACTTATGGGGGGCATATAACCTCGTACGCATTCGTCAAGGAGACGAATGGAAAACTGCCTTTAGAACCAGATATGGACACTTCGAGTCCCCATTTATGCCTTTTGGCCTATGCAATGCTCCCGCGACTTTTCAGCACTTCATCAATGATGTTGTTTGAGATCTGTTGGACCAGTTTGTTATTACATATCTGGAAGATATTCTCATCTTTTTGGACAGGTTGGAGGAGCATTGCAAGCATGTCTGCACTGTATTCAAAAGGTTAACGATTGAAACGACTTTACATCAAACTGGAGAAATGTGAGTTTTAACAAACCCAGATCCAGTTTTTCGGATATATTATTTCTTCAGAAGGAGTAAGCATGGATCCTGAAAAGATCAAGGCAGCGGTGGATTGGCCTGCCCCTGGAAACATTAAGGAAATACAACAATTTGTTGGATTTGCCAACTTTTATAGGAAATTCATAAGAAACTTCTCTAAGGTAATAGCATCAATTACACAGCAGACAAAGAAAGGAGTGCTGTTTTTTATGGTCAACTGAGGTGCAGACTGCTTTTTGTAAGCTAAAGACTCTTTTCACTTCTGCACCAATATTGGTACATCCAGATTCTGATCTACCTTTTATTGTGGAAGTGGATGCCTCAGACTCTGCCGTGGGAGCTTTCCTAGCGAAGAGGAGAAAAAATGTAGCTTCATCCCTGTGCATATTTTTCTCGCTTGATGTCATCAGCTGAAAAGAATTATGGGAATAAGGAGTTGCTGGCAATTAAGTAAGCTGTTTCTGAATGGAGGCATCTGTTGGAAGGGGCTAAGCATCCTGTGACTGTCCTCACTGATCATAAAAATCTAGAATTCATCCGTTCTGCCAAGAGATTGTCTTCTAGATAAGCACATTGGTCACTGTTCTTTTCCAGGTTTAATTTTATTATCTTGTATCAACCTGGGTCAAGAAATGGTAAGGCTGATGCCTTAACACGGTTGTTGTCTGGGCCTTTCCAGGAAAACAACTCTGAATTCACAGTCCTGCCTCAAAAGAACTTTCTAGGGGCCACAAGTTCTAAGGCATTCTTGAGTCTTCTCAAATAGGGGTATGAGAATGACCCACTTCTCAATCATCCACCTAAGGACATTAACCTGGCTTATAAGAATGGCTTTTGTATTCAAGGGCATCATCTCTACGTACCTGAATCTGCTCGGGTTGGAGCTCTCAGACTGGTTCATGATTCCAAACTTGCTGGGCATTTTGGGGTTTCTAAGACTGAAGAACTTTTATCACATTCCTTTTGGTGGCCTGGTTACAAGAAAGATGTCAACTGCTATGTGGCCTCATGCCTGACCTGTGTACGCAATAAGATTCCCTGAGCTTCTCCTTTGGGGTTGCTCCAGCCACTCCGTTCCATCAAGACCATGAGGGTCAATTTCTATGGATTATGTGGTTGATTTACCTCCATCAAAAGTAATGACCTCTATCTTGGTAGTTGTCGACCAGCTCACAAAGATGGCCCATTTTGTTCCAGTTAAGGGGGTGCCCACTGCTGAACAAACTGCAGAACTGATGGTTCGAGAAGTCTTTAAACTGCATGGAATCCCTAATGATGTGTCTGACAGAGGACTGCAGTTTACTTCAAAATTCTGGAAAAGCTTTTGCTCAGCATTAGGTGTTACAATCAATCTGTCCTCTGCTTGCCATAGCCAGTCTAATGGTCAGACTGAAAGAACCAATCAAACAATGGAGCAGTATCTTCGGTGCTTTGTCACTTATCTTCAGGATGACTGGGTGGACTGTCTTCCCACAGCAGAGTTTGCATACAACAATTCTAAACATAGTTCCATTTCTCAAAGTCCCTTTTACTTAAACACTGGTTATCATCCAGTTTTTATTCCTGATCTCTCTATCACAATTCCAATTCAAGCTGTTAAAAAAACAGACTAACTACATTGTAGGAGATTCAGGAGAAATTGATTGAGACTTTAAGGGAAGCTCAGGAATGTTACAAAAAGGCTGCTGACAGACATCGGAGATCTGTTCCTACCATTCATGTGGCTGACAAAGTTTGGTTATCAACAAAAAAATTGTAGGTTCATGTCCCATCTGCTAAGTTGGGTCAAAGGTTTGTGGGTCCTTTTCAAATTTCTGCTCAAATCAACCTGGTCAACTTTCGTTTAAAACTTCCAGACAGTATGAAGATTCACCCTGTTTTTCAGATATCGCTACTCAAACCGTTTCATGAAAATCCTTTCTCTGGAAGAATTCTTCCACCTCCTCCACCCGTTGAGGTACAGAGTGAAGAAGAATTTGTGGTGGAGAAAATTCTTGATTCCAGGATCTTTAGTAACAAATTACAATATCTGGTTCAATGGGAAGGCCTCCCCTCTGATGATGTGCTGGAGCACGAAAGGCCTTAGGAGGAGCCAGCAGAGCGTGACATTTAGCCGCCCGGAGCCACGAGGAGGCCCGGCGGCCATATTACTTTTGGTCAGTTGTACCACTTTTATTATTCACTGATCAGTGTTTTCTGCCCTGTTTTAATACTTTGGAAATAAATGTTTTTTACTCACCTACTACACTATGGAGTTTTTTTGGCTCCTACTTGGAGCTAATTAATTTTCAGGATACCTTACCTATTCTGGCCACCGGAGGGAGTTCCTCGTCTTTTATTCATCTGGTCTAAAGGGGATCTCTGGATCTGGATGCTGTCCAATTTATCAAGATTGCCTGCTCCCGGATATCCATTGTACCCGCTTGATGAGTGATTTCCACGGGTCATACTACATATGCGCTTTTATATAGCGCATCCGGTGAGTGCGCAATTTTACTGTGTGATCCTGGGCTTACTAGCTTCTATGCAAGATTCTGCGTTTATTTGCCTGGACTTTATTTATTTATTCATTTATTCATTTTAATATTGGTTACTATTTCTGTTACACATCACAGTGTGCTTTCAGATCATTTGAGATACATATGAGCATATAGATCCTATGCTATATTTATCAGCGCCGCACCTTTTTTATTTTTTGTGAATGACAGAGAGCATGGCTGCAGTGTTTACACTGCACCTCTGCTTTCTGTCAGTTCCCTGTCAGCTCCTGACATGCTGCTCCGGAGAGAAGAGTTTATCTCTCTGGATCAGCATGTTCCCGTGCAGTACACCCCCGCCCCCTAGTAAAACACTCCCCTCACACAGTTAACCCTTTCATTGAATAAAAAAGTTAACATCTTCCTCCCCAGTGCCATTAGTACAGTGTCAGTGTTTTTTTTTTTTTGCACTGATCACTGTATTGGTGTCACTGGGGATGTCAGTGACCCCAAGTCAGTTCCCCCCCAGTGTCAGAATGTCCTCCACAGTCCCGCAGTGCTGCCATAAGTCGCTGATTGCCGCTATAAGTCACTGATCGCTGCCATAAGTCGCTGATCGCCGCCATTATTAGTATAAAAAAAAAATTAAAAATCCCAGTATCTGTCCCGCCATTTGTAAACGCTATAACTTTCACGTAAACCAATTAATTTACACATATTGGGGTTTTTGTAGCAAAGATATGTCGCAGAATGCATTTTGGACAAAATTTATGACGAAAGTTGATTTTTAAATTTTTTTTACTGGACATGTTTTATATAGCAAATAGTCCAAAATATTGTTTTTTTTCTCAAAATTGTCAGCCCTTTTTTTTTATAGCGCAAAAAAATAAAAAACGCACAGGCGATCAAATACCACCGAAAGAAAGCTCAATTTGTGGGAAAAAAGGACATAAATTTAATTTGGGTGCAGTGTTGCATGACCGCGCAATTGTCAGTTAAAGTAACACAGCGTCGTAACACAAACCTCTTCTGTAACCGCTTCCTGACCACCCTATAGCAGAAATACTGCTACAGGGCGGCATGGGTGCGCAAAATCACATATATATATATATATATATATATATATATATATATATACATGATTTGCGCTCCCATGGTTTTCACCCCCCTCCCAGATAGTGTCAGATTGCCCGTCAGTACACCAGTCATCACATTTACCCCCTTGATTGCCAGGAGCACGCTCATGTACAATAAACCTCCATTGCTACTATAGTGTCTGAACGGGTCAATATCTTTGATCAGATCAGCACTATACCAGCGTTCACATTAATATAGCGTCCCCAAAAACGAAGCGTTAGCGGGATCAGCATCAGCACCTGCCAGCACTTGTGTTTAGCCCCTACGCTTACCCCCCTTCTTCCCCAGCAAGCGCAGTGTCAGTAGGTCCCTGTCACTTGATACATTACACAGAAAACTGCAGCATTTGCAGAATCAGGCCTGATCTCTGTTAGCACTTGCCGGTAAATTTTGATGACTCTCATATGCAGTAGAATGCCAATACTAGTGCCGCTCTACCTTTTGGTCAACTGGCAAGTACCAGCGGTCTAGTACATCCTGGTTAGAGATGAGCGAATCGAACCAGGCAAACCGGAATTCGATACGAATTTCAGGAAAAATTCGATTCGCGTCGAATCCGAATATTTGCCTACTTCGGGTGCGCGAATCGGATTTTTCCGATCAGCCGGCAAAAGTGTCCCTGCAGAGAGCTCCGCTATTTCTGACATTTCTCTGACAGTTCCTTCACATGTACAGCGGTTGAAACATTGTATCTATTAGTTTCCATTTAGGATACAGATGTTAGAAGAAGAGGATGAGGATGAGGATGAAGAAGAAGAAGAAGAAGAAGAAGAAGAAGTAGGATGAAAATAAGAATAATTCCAAGCCGGCAAAAAGTGTATCTGCAGAGCTCCTCTATTCTGCAGATACACTTAGAGGAGCTCTGCAGATACACTTAGAGGAGCTCTGCAGATACACTTTTTGCCGGCTTGGAATTAATCTTATTTTCATCCTACTTCTTCTTCTTCTTCTTCATCCTCATCCTCAGAAGAAGAAGAGGATGAGGATGAAGAAGAAGAAGAAGAAGAAGAAGTAGGATGAAAAATAAGAATAATTCCAAGCCGGCAAAAAGTGTATCTGCAGAGCTCCTCTATTCTGCAGATACACTTAGAGGAGCTCTGCAGATACACTTAGAGGAGCTCTGCAAATACACTTTTTGCCGGCTTGGAATTAATCTTATTTTCATCCTACTTCTTCTTCTTCTTCTTCTTCATCCTCATCCTCATCCTCAGAAGAAGAAGAAGAGGATGAGGATGAAGAAGGAGAAGAAGAAGAAGTAGGATGAAAATAAGAATAATTCCAAGCCGGCAAAAAGTGTATCTGCAGAGCTCCTCTATTCTGCAGATACACTTAGAGGAGCTCTGCAGATACACTTAGAGGAGCTCTGCAGATACACTTTTTGCCGGCTTGGAATTAATCTTATTTTCATCCTACTTCTTCTTCTTCTTCATCCTCATCCTCAGAAGAAGAAGATGAGGATGAAGAAGAAGAAGAAGAAGTAGGATGAAAATAAGAATAATTCCAAGCCGGCAAAAAGTGTATCTGCAGAGCTCCTCTATTCTGCAGATACACTTAGAGGAGCTCTGCAGATACACTTAGAGGAGCTCTGCAGATACACTTTTTGCCGGCTTGGAATTAATCTTATTTTCATCCTACTTTCCAAGCCGGCAAAAAGTGTATCTGCAGAGCTCCTCTAAGTGTATCTGCAGAGCTCCGCTATTTCTGACAGTTCTGTGACATTCACTCCATACAGCGGTTGAAACATTGTATCTATTTGTTTCCATAAATGGATCCATTTATGGAAACAAATAGATACAATGTTTCAACCGCTGTATGGAGTGAATGTCCCAGAACTGTCAGAAATAGGCTATTTCTGACAGTTCTGTGACATTCACTCCATACAGCGGTTTCAACCGCTGTATGGAGTGAATGTCACAGAACTGTCAGAAATAGGCTATTTCTGACAGTTCTGGGACATTCACTCCATACAGCGGTTGAAACATTGTATCTATTTGTTTCCATAAATGGATCCATTTATGGAAACAAATAGATACAATGTTTTCAACCGCTGTATGGAGTGAATGTCCCAGAACTGTCAGAAATAGCCTATTTCTGACAGTTCTGTGACATTCACTCCATACAGCGGTTGAAACCGCTGTATGGAGTGAATGTCACAGAACTGTCAGAAATAGACAGAAACTGTCACAGAACTGTCCTTCTTCTCATCCTTCTCCTTCTTCTCATCCTTCTTCTCATCCTTCTCCTTCTTCTCATCCTTCTCCTTCTTCTCATCCTTCTCCTTCTTCTCATCCTTCTCCTTCTTCTCATCCTTCTTCTTCTCATCCTTCTCCTTCTTCTCATCCTTCTTCTCATCCTTCTCCTTCTCCTTCTTCTCATCCTTCTCCTTCTTCTCATCCTTCTCCTTCTTCTCATCCTTCTCCTTCTCCTTCTTCTCATCCTTCTCCTTCTTCTCATCCTTCTCCTTCTCCTTCTCCTTCTTCTCATCCTTCTCCTTCTCCTTCTTCTCATCCTTCTCCTTCTCCTTCTTCTCATCCTTCTCCTTCTTCTCATCCTTCTTCTCATCCTTCTCCTTCTTCTCATCCTTCTCCTTCTCCTTCTTCTCATCCTTCTCCTTCTTCTCATCCTTCTTCTCATCCTTCTCCTTCTTCTCATCCTTCTCCTTCTTCTCATCCTTCTCCTTCTTCTCATCCTTCTCCTTCTCCTTCTTCTAATCCTTCTCCTTCTTCTCATCCTTCTCCTTCTCCTTCTTCTCATCCTTCTCCTTCTCCTTCTTCTCATCCTTCTCCTTCTCCATCTTCTCATCCTTCTCCTTCTCCTTCTTCTCATCCTTCTCCTTCTCCTTCTTCTCATCCTTCTCCTTCTTCTCATCCTTCTTCTTCTCCTTCTTCTCATCCTTCTCCTTCTTCTCATCCTTCTCCTTCTCCTTCTTCTCATCCTTCTCCTTCTCCTTCCTCATCTCCAAGGGCATTTAAATTAAAGGTACAGTGTTCTGCACTAATTTAAAGGCTCTCTGAAGCCTAGAAACCCTTTTTATAAGTTAACTTCGTAGCGAATTAATTCGCATCGAATCGAATTTCTTCCTGAAATTCGGCGAATCAGCCGAATCGAATTTTTGAATAATTCGCTCATCTCTAATCCTGGTCTTTCACATACCTTCTTGATTTTTGGAGCTGTTTTTCATGGAATATCTGTATGCGTTGATTGTGGATCAAAGCAATTTATATGCACAACAAATTTATCGCCGCCAACCCAAATTCAAACCTTGCCAGACCAGTCTCATGGAAACTCATTACGGTTTTCGAATTTAAATTTTTTTGGGGCCTAACCCTCAACATGGGCATTACTAAAAGAAATGAATTGCGGTTGTATTGGTCCGCAGACCCGATTCATCATATGCCGTGTTCTCTGCTGCCATGGCCAGGCATAGATATGAGAGTATAATGTGTTTTATGCATTTCAACGACAATACACTCTGTCATTCTCTCGGGGGGTGACCCTGAATTTGACCGGCTCCACAAAATTCAGCCCATCGCAAATCACCTTAACCAAAAATTTGCAGATGTCTATACTCTCCAGCAAAACATCTGCGTTGATGAGTCCCTCATTAATTTTTCTGGCCGCCTTGCATTCAAACAATTTCTCACCAGCAAGCGTGCCAGATATAGGGTCAAGATGTAGAAGACCTGTGAGAGGGCAACAGGCTATACTTATAAGTTTTGGATTTACGAGGGAAAGTCACGTGGAGCCCCCTGGATGCCCAGACTACATGGGGAGCAGTGGCAAGATAGTTTGGGACTTGGTGTCATCCTTTTTCCATATGGGGTACCACTTATACTTGGAGAATTTTTATTCAAGCGTGCCACTATTTAGACATTTGTTTAATCTTGGAACTGGCGCTTGTGGCAAAGTGTGACACCATGTGTGCACACCATTAGAAGTGGGTGGATACAGGGCGGTATATTCTAATGGTGGGCATACCACACACTTGTTCTGGCAGAGATTTCTTCTCATTTTTGTCATTCAGTCCACAGGCTGCATACAAAAAAAAAGAACATAGTATATATACCCAAGGACCAGCGACGTACTGGTACATCACTGGACTTTGAATGGTTATACCAGGATGATGCCTACAGCTGCAGGTATGATCCTGGTATTGTTTTTTTCAGCCGGCGATTGGCTCTCATGTAAAAGCAATCCTAATGGCTAATTAGCTGCAGGCTTGCTTTTACAAGCAGCGAGAGATGATGCCCCCCTCCCCCGCTGCCTTCTACGGCCTTCTCGGGCAGTCCTGTGCCATCGGGGGAACCTTCGAATGCAGCCGGTGTTTCTGCCAGCTGACCATAGAGCTGATTGGAGACCAGAGTGGTGCCAATCATCTCTATAGCCTAAGAATTCAGAAGCTACAAGCATTTCATCACTTCAGTTTCACAGGATATAAACAGCGCCATTTGTAAATTGGGAAAGCATCTGATCACACCGATTTTGGTTTGATTAGATAATGTAAGGACAGAGGAGATATCTAGAGCCTGATAGACCCCAGATTTCTCAAAAAAGAATATATGACAATGCCCATTGAAGTTATAGGGGATATTTCCCTGTTCTAGCATTAAAAGTGATCAAAAAAAAAAAATGAAAGGTACAAATGTAAAAAAAATAAAAAAGAATCAAAATAATTAAAAAAAAAAAAAATTGCCTCTCCCATGCACGCACACCTGTGTGCAGAAGCCTTGACCCTGTGCCGGTATGTAAACAGCGGTTGCACCATGCATGTGAGGTATTGCCATGAACGTCAGATCAAGGGCAGTAATTCTAGCACTAGACCTCCTCTGTAAATCTAAAATGGTAGCTTTTAAAGGCTTTTAAAGCATTGCCTATGGATATTAAAAATGTTTGCAGATTGTCGCCATTGCACAGGGCATGCGCAGTTTTAAAGCATGTCATGTTTGGTATCTATTTACTCGGCATACCATTATCTTTTATATTTTATGAAATAATTGGCCAATATATTGTGTTTTTGTGCATTAAAAGTAAAAAAAAGTGTATTTTTTTTTTTAAATTTGCTTTTGAAAAATCGCTGCACGAGTACTATGTGCCATAAAAATTGTAGTACCCACCATTTTATTCAGTAGGGTGTCTGCTTTAAAAAAATATATAATGTTTGGGGGTTTAAATTAATTTCCTAGCAAAAAATACAGATTTTTTTTTTCATGTGAACAAAGTGTCAGAAAAGGCTTGGTCTTCAGGTGGTTAGAAGAGTGAGTGATGTGTGGCATAAACTTCTAATGCTGGGCATAAAACACCCCCACCCCCCAAAAAACGACCCCTTTTTGGAAAGTAGACACCCCAAACTATTTGCTGAGAGGCATGTTGAATCAATAGAAGAATTTATTTTTTTACCACAAGTTTTTGGAAAATGACAAAAAAAAAATGTTTTTGTTTACACAAAATTGTCACTTAAATGATTTGCCGCTCACACATGCCATGGGTATATGTGGAATTACTCCCCAAAATACATTTTGCTACTTCTCCCGAGTATGGGGGTACCACA